ATAATGCCCAGTTTACATGATTCCAGTCCAGCGATCGACATTAGTGTTGGATTGCAAATGGAATAATGTAAACCGGAGAGAGCGAGGTGTGTATAATGTGTTGTGCGTGAGACAGGCGTCGCAGGCGCGCGACCTGCTCTCCCGCATGCTGGTCATCGACCCCGAGCGTCGCATCTCTGTGGACGAGGCGCTGCTGCATCCCTACATCAACGTCTGGTACGACGAGGGAGAGGTCAACGCGGTACGTACACCCTCCACCTCCACCCTCCACCTCCACACATACGCACACAAAATAGAATTTATTGATTGCGTTGTTGGAGGATTTTATTATATTTAAGATATTTAATGAAAAGTTTCATCAAATTTTAAATATGTCAATTACGAATTTGTATGTGCAGCCGGCGCCGGCGTCGTACGACCACTCGGTGGACGAGCGCGAGCACACTGTGGAGCAGTGGAAGCAGCTCATCTACCAGGAGGTGGTGGAGTACGCCGCCCCTCCGCCCGCGCCCGCACACCCCCCGCCCCCGGACCACGCCCAGCCAGCGCTCACCACATAGGTACACCCTCCCCCGTACCCAGACATCTAGTCACACGACTCTTGACTCTACCTAAGAACCACAAATAACTTGTTGCAGGTACCAGCCGAGCTGACCGCCGAGCTGTAACGGTGCGAGTGACGCATCGTGCCCGGGGGCGTGGCTAAAGCGGTCCGGGGGCGTGGCCAGCTCATGCCGGGGCGTGGCCTACGCCGCGACGGGCGCTCGGCGGTCAGTCGAGCGGCAGTCTCCTCTACTCTACTCACTTCCTGTTTCTTATATGTATATGTAGGTTAAGCACTCGTTACGTGGTGTCTCAGTCGGAGTCGGAGTTTTGCTGTGGAAAAAGTGCTCGGAAATTCAAGAAAGATTCTAGAAATAATGGCTCTGTTGAGGAATGCGGCGCTAGAAAACACCCCAGCGTATGAAAAGTCGGATACAAACTGTCATTATATAAAAGTGTGTGTGTCTGTGTGTTCGCAGCGGTTTCGAGGCGGAGTGCCTTTTCTTTGGTCGCGGACTGGACTTTTCGTATTAAAAATGTTTGTTATAGTGTATGTTAGAGTCGGGACACGTGACGTCACGCTCGGCTACTGTAAGGTTAAGCTTAGGGTGCGGTCACATTGAAGCGAGAACGAAGCAGAATGTGAATGTGTAAGAAGTAGGAGAAAGGAAGGAGTGGAGAAAAGTTAGTGTTATTTATCGACAATAACATGCGTTGTGAAATTACCGACGATTGTATTTAGCTGGGACTTCAATGTAAACGCACCCTTATTCTGTTGTAACGTGCAATCTTTTAGTTAATTATAAACACGGAATGTGAATGTTGTCAGGTTTGTGAGTATGTACAGGACCTCAGACCTCTGGAGAACTGGCTCCGTTATTTTGTTGCTGAACTATTTCTAAATAAGGTATCGTCCATTTATCACGTAACACTCGAAGTGGGGAGGAGTTCTGAAAAAAATCACAAATCATCACGGGGTGGGGGAGTTAACACAAGATATCACGTTATTTTCTGACCGATGACTTAAATGTGAAGAATAAATGAAGACAGTGTGCAAGTGGTAGAGATATGGCAACTTTTAACAACTTTTTTGACCCCAACCCCGTGGACTCACTTGATTCATAAACAGCTCCTACAATCTTTATTTACACAATTTCGATCTTGGATTGAAACAAGATTTACTTAAACCAAACGAAAGTGTCCACTTTACTTTTTTTTTCAAACAACCACTTTTTACGTTCGAGTCAGCAAAGTTTGACATGTATTAAATAGCAATGTTAGTTTGTATCTATATATATGATGTCTGTCTGTGCGTCACTGAGCGTCGGTATTTGTTTGTAGCAGACGAGACGTGTATACTACACGTCTGTATGTCTGTCTGTCTGTTGATAGAGTACGATACGAGTAAGTAGGAACTAGTTATGTTGTTGATATTGTAATACTGGATTTAGATAATAAAGTACATTTCTTAAGTAGTTCCCGTAGATTGCCTCGCGCTACACACTAACATACAACACTATTCAACTTTTATATATATATATTAATCCTTATCTCTATTATACTAAGTTTTACATTAATTATTTCACTGCCGAAGTATTTGTAGGAAAATGTTGACAATCACATTCTTTTAGAAAATAACTAATATTTAATTTAAAAAAAAAATAGAATTCCAAATTTAACAACTGAATTTGAGTTTAGTCACTCTAAACTTGATTTATTTATTATCTAGATAAAACCTACTTGTTTTTTGTTTATAAATAAAAATTATACAAATGAAACTTTGTTATTAGAAATATATTAAAATCTCGAACGAGAATTTGTATTGGTAGTGTCGTTGTGATGCAGGCGCGGGGCTACACGTAGGTTACTGTTTGAAACCTCAGTAGGTGATATTAATATAATATTAGTAGGACAGTCCATTCTGTTGGCTCCACTGCACAACATAGAGCGGGACGCCGAACGCGAAACCTTCTCAACATACATTCTGTCTCACTCGCACGAGCGGCCGACATCTTGGTCACATATCGCGGACCTGTCAATTTATTTTCACACGAGGGCAGAATAATAAATTAAAGCAGTAGTACAATGCGGTACTAATATTGTTTGAACGCTTAATTGGTATCAAAACTGAAGGCAATGTAACATTTTATTGTCTTTTTGTAGAATTGACAAAATGTAAAGATATAAAGCCGTGATAGTTAGAAAGATTTTGTCACTCTTAAATCAATGTTAGTATCAGTGTCCCTAGTTTACTGTTCTACCCTAGTGTGAAATAGCATTGTCAGGTACATACCTCGGCCTCTCTCAGCAGTGCTCTTAGCTGGGAATACATGGAAGTTACAATCGTTTTTAAGTGAAAAAAAATATAATTATGTTCTTATTTTATTTTATTGTTAAATATATTTTTTTTTTATTTTAAATATAATTTTAAATTTTTGTAATAAAATATTTTTTTGGCAAAATCAAATAAAAAATATATTATCTTTTATTTCTGTTTAATTTTTACGATATGTGCTATATATTAGCAATTTTACAACTTCATATAAAAGTGCAATATTTGTCGAATTATTTTTCTCTTTTAAATCAATGAATTACGATTTATTTTTATAATTAGTACATATTATTTAGTTTGGAAATGAATAACTTAAGCCCGGCTACGCCCATATCCATTGTTACTTGACTTTTGTTCCATTACGTAGGTTCGATTCTCGACTTCCCAATTCAATGTAGTTGTTAGCGACTGCATAGAGCAGTAGAGAATATACGTAGGTCACTATAGATTAAACACAACTTTTAAAACACTAAACAACAGAGACGATAATTCATGTTTTTCAAAGTTCCTAGCAAAGAATATTTGTGACAAGAGCAATCATATCGTCATCGGTTATATTTATCAACAAAATCGGACAAAATTCTCATATTAATTTTCATATAATTGACGAAACCATACGAAGGCGATTGTTACAAATATTCCTGCTAGACCCACAGTAGTGGAAGGTTAATACCTTGTTTACATTATTCCAGTATAGTAGGACAGTAGCGCTCAAAACAAGCGCTGGCATACAACTGGTACATGTAAACACTAACTGGCGCTAGTGTGCCACTGTTCTAATCTGTTGATAATATGCTGTTTAATTGTGTGAAAACAAAAATGTGAGTGAAATGTAAAATTTACTAGCCTACGTAAAGTCTACTACTCTAGCCCAGCTGATTTAGTAACGCATAAGGGAAATAAAAGCTTTCAAGAGTATACAATAATTATTAAAAATTTTAAAAGTAAGTCGTAAGTAGTGACTTGTAAATATAATGAATAGGCTAAATGGAACGAAAGTGAAGATACATCGTCTATAGGGCACATTGCGATAGTAAATATATATATTTAAAAGAGATTCACAAACTGTACGTCCAAATTGTCCATTGATATGTTAATGTACCTATTACAAATTACAATAATGTACTCGTTAGAGCGTATTTTAGTGGGTTGGCGTGCGCGTGCACTCGCGCTCGCGGCACCGGCGGCTTGTAGAACGTATTCGTAAGGAGTTGACACTTGACGACTATCAAAAAACTTATTTTTACTGTAATCATAAGTTATTTCATATTTTAACTGAATAAATCAAAATGGTTATTATATACGTTGTTTTTATTATTCTATATTTCACTATGAATGAGATTGGAAAATATAATAAATGGTTCAACTTATCAACCCGTACTTCAACAGCCCAGCGGACAACGAACTCATAAAATTTATAAAATAAATCGTTACAAAAACACTGTACAGTCAGCGTCATATAGATCGTAACAGACAAGATATGCAAATATATAGGTACATCAAAAGTAATCAATTATATCGGTACAACAAAAGTCCTCAAAATAATAGATACATTCACCCTGCTCAAATACATCGGTACATACACAGCGTCAAATATATGAGTACATGCAAGATGCTCATAAATATCGTAGCAGCCACAGCGTCATAAGTAACGAAGCAGTCAAGGTGCGCAAAAATATCGGTACATTTGACAAAATTGAACTCTATCTCTATATACTTGTGATACAATTTGGAATAAACTACTTCTGTTACATTCATTTGACACTTTGCATCAAACCATTTTTCAAAATTTACTAAAAGCGTTCGACGCGGATGACAGATATAAGGTAGATAAAACCAACATCAAATTTAAGTTTGTCATCATATATGCTAGTTTGGTCTCGTGGCCTTACCGTTCGCCGCCGTTTGTACGTAAGGTCGGCGGTTCAAATCCCAAGCCACTATTTTTTTTTTGATATTTAAACTTTTTAATTTTAATACCGAAGCACATGTAATTAAACTCTATCGCCGTAGTTATTAGGTACTTTTTGATATTGCCTTGGACTAATGAGTTTGACCGTTAAAGTACTTTTCTATTTCAAACAAAAATGAAGGAGATAAAGCGATGCTATTGGCATGTAATTTGTTTATTACTCATGTTTGTTAAACTTGTATCGGTAAAAATAACACTTTTACTTTTACCTTTTACTGATACTGATTATATTTAAGAAACAAAGAAAAAAAACTGATTGTCAATATCCAAACTACATCAAATTTTTGGTCGATTGCAATAAACATTCCAGTGTGCGTGGGCGCGCACACATATGTAGATAACACTTGTACGTATAGTTTCCGCGCGTACCATTCTTAAAACCCGCAAAGACAATCCACGCTCCGCCCACTCACTTCACCCGCGATGGTCTGACCTAATTGTTGTTAACTTTATTTAAATTTCTTTCTACCCGACAGCGAAAATTATAAAAAAAAATTGTCGAGCAAAATTTTACATTACCAAATTTTTACTAGTTATGAAAAAATAACCCCGTGATTGATAAAATGATAAAAAAGAAGCCTGAGATTCGAACCGGTAAACTTACATATTACGGCAAACATACTAGAATACTGCGCCAAACTAGTATATATTGTGACAAGGCAAAATTTGATATTAGTTATTACGTATCTGTCATATTCGGCGTGACAAACTTTTATAATATATTTAAGCGTTATGACAGGAGAAGAAAAATATTGGGTTGCCCAGTAAGTTCGTGCCGCTTTATAAGGAAAATTGAAACCCTGTTCTCTTAAATTTTTGGAAATGTTTTTAAATTATATTGGTACGACTCTATACCTAAAACGTCTTTTATTTTTTTCTAAAATTTTAAAAATTAGTTTTTATCTCAACCAATGAAATGAAATTATTTACAATATAGAAATTTTTGTGACGTTTGATAATGGTGGAAATCCGAAAATGAATCCACTTCAGCTACAGTCTATTGTAAGCTTTATATCGAAAATCAGAACGAACTTTCCGGACAACCTATAATGTTAATACAAAGTGTCAAATGAATGTAACAGAAGTAGTTTATTCCGAATTGTATCACAAGTATATAGAGATAGAGTTCAATTTTGTCAAATGTACCGATATTTTTGAGCACCTTGACTGCTTCGTTACTTATGACGCTGTGGCTGCTACGATATTTATGAGCATCTTGCATGTACTCATATATTTGACGCTGTGTATGTACCGATGTATTTGAGCAGGGTGAATGTATCTATTATTTTGAGGAATTTTGTTGTACCGATATAATTGATTACTTTTGGTGTACCTATATATTTGCATATCTTGTCTGTGACGATCTATATGACGCTGACTGTACCCTCGCGGCTAGTATTAAATTTCATAGTATCATTTCTATGTAATTTTTTTTATGAGAGAATCTATACCAAATACCGTTATGACGATACCTCTTTACCTTCGCAATTGAGTTAACCATTTTTTATGCCAGTGTTCGAGTTCACAACACCCTATCAAAGTTTTATGCTATATACGACTGCTATTTGCGGAAATGACATAAAAAGCTCATAGAATTAAAAATGGCAATCTAAAGGCCTTCAGGGATATAGAAAACTATAGTTCCATAAGGGGAAATAAATATAGGTGTGTGAAAAATTGTTTTTTGTCAATTTATAACAAAGAGTATATAAAATAAGAGACGGGACTCTTGACTACTAAGATACACAAACGGAGAATAAAAATTGTCATTTTCAATACTAGCAATATTATGAACAAGTCTCCGTTGCTACCAACCTAAAAAAATCGATATGTCAATTTCCTTTTCGACGTTTGAAAGTATTATTCGAGGGAAAACAATTTAGGAAAAATAAAACCATTTCGTTAATTGCAACTTTAATTTAATCTTCTGACTAAAGCGAACATATTTTAAGAACGCAACATAATGCTCACTACTTTCGTAATAATACCATTATTGTTTAGTTCACCAACAAAATACCCCAACTTTGATAAATGCTTATTTGTTCCAGTTTGTTTATTTGATAGGTCATATTTTCTGATAGAGCTGGAGTAGTAGTGCCACTCTCGTCGGGACAAATAGAATAACCCTGGAAAGAGATTAGCTCCTATCTGTTGGTAAAATATTTAGAAAATTGCTAACAAGACAATATGCATTGAAGCAAAACAAATAGTCATCATCAAGCTCACTATACGGACACACTATATTCCACTGAGGAGCTCGGAGCCTACCCTCAGGAATGCGACTAGGTCTTATTCAACAACGCAGAGCCAGTGAGGGTTGGTTGACTTCACACATATCTTTGAATATCTATGCAGTTGTATGCAATTTGTAATTACAGTAAGAATGTCGGATGGATGTTATCAAGAAATTCGAAGAACGCATTACTATATAGTGGAGATCGTACCTGGATATGTGAAATATGATCCGGTCAAGCGCCAACTGCACTGCCGACGCTCCAAATAGTCCCCTAATCCAAACTTTTCCTATCAAAACATTGCAAATGTACAAGTCATGTTAAATATTATGTAATGTAAAAAAAGAATACAATATTTAAGTTTTACTTCTCAAATAAATTCATAAAATTATCATGAACCTAAAGATTCCGCATATTAACTCTTTTGTTATTACTATTCTCCATAGATGTTTAACCAATAGATTCCTTAACGAGAAAAATAATGAGCTTAGGAGGCATAATTTTGGGGTAAAGTACCTGTGTTGAAATTTCAATTACTTGTAAGAAAATTGTATACAATCTCTATTTATTTTTTATTACTTAGTTCAAAAAAGTTTAAGATATATTATAAGTTGTGATATTTGTAAAATCCAAATTTAATAAATTAATTTTGTTTCACATTTCACTAAAAGGTATTTTTTTAATCTTTGGTACTTGATACTTAATTCCCTGTATTTTTATTTTCTATACACTGCATTTCCCAATTTTGAGAAAATTTTATTATGCTCGTGTATATTTTATATTAGTCTAATACATATTAGGTGCGCAACTAAGTTCTCGCTTTTTTTCGATAAAAATATAACTTTATTATTAAAAAAATGGTTACAAATGAATCATTCAAAGTATTGCCCATCGCTAGACACAACTTTTTCCCATCGTTCTGGTAGAGTTCGAATACCTTGACGCCAGAAGTGTTCGTCTTTTGAGGCTATCCACGAATCAAGCCATTTTTGATTGTCACAAATTTAACTGCCATAAATCTACCAAATGTGTAAAATTTACAAGTCTTTTTCAGTAGCTTTCTTTTGATTTATAATATGAAAGTCAATTTTTTATCTGCACAACAATGAAAACAAGTTACTCTTTGAGCGTCATTTTGACATTCGGTTTGAACTGTCAATGTCAAATGTCAGGTTAAAAAATCCAACCAAAAATGCAAAAAAAAGCGTCGAAACATTTTTGGGATGTGGGATTGTGTTAAATGTAAATAGTTCCGATTTTTTCAAGTCCAAAAGTTTCAAACGAAGAGCAGATTGAAACAATTGTTCACACATAAAATTAAAAATCAAAATGTCGGAAAAAGAAAAGGGAAAGTTGACTACCCAAACAAAACACATACCGAAAGATGCACAAGTGATAATGTCTATCATGAAGGAGGTAGGAATCACAGATTATGAGCCTCGAGTAGTTAACCAGCTTCTAGAGTTTATTTTTCGTTACGTGACTTGTATTTTGGAAGATGCGCGAGTATTTGCTAATCACTCTAAGAAGAAGACAATCGACCTGGACGACGTTAGGTTGGCCGTTCAGTTGCAGCTTGACAAAAGCTTCACGAGTGCTCCACCGCGGGAAGTGTTACTAGAACTCGCGAGAACGAAGAATGTTAACCCTTTGCCATTGATAAAGCCACATTGTGGACTTCGGTTACCACCAGATCGGTAAGATTTTTTCCAGTATACACACATACTTCTGTTCTGTTCTGTTTCTTGTTTATGGCTCTCCCTCATCGGATTGGGCCAATGTCAAGTGTTGCACACATACTTATTGTAACTTATAAAAGTTTCAACTTTGAACAGTGCCTGTCCAGTATAAAACTATAAGCCATTGTGACTACTCGCCACTGTTCTGAATTTGATTTTTTCTTAAGGTCATCATTTTGAATTTGATGATAAATTGCAATTTTTTTTACAAATTTCAGGTACTGCTTGACAGCATGCAACTATAGATTAAAAGTTCCAACAAAGAAATCTATCACAAAACCACCACCCACTCCCGTTGTCAAGACTATGACCACACCGAAACCTCTCTCAACACAACAAAATGTGGTTGTCAAGAGACCATCGGGTGCTATAGTTAATGTTTCATCATCAAAAGCTAATGTAATACCCAAACCATTACTGAAATTTACGTCAGGAAGCAAGGTTTGTATACTTTTTTGCTATATTTTTGCTCATATTCTGTATAATTTATTTCATCACTCACTGAGGTTTCTCTCAAACAAAAGTTTCTTACAAGAGTTTCTGTGTTAGGTTTGAATATAGCATTTGTAATAAAATGTGTCTTTCAGGTTGTCGCAAAACCTGCAGTACGTGTGACAGCTGGACCCTCTTCACAAGGTCCTCTTAAAATGGAGATCGACGAACCTGGCGCACAGAAACGCAAGCGAGATGATGATGATTATGATTAAGTAGGCTTCTAATAAACTTAGTTTGTGTATAAGATATAATTTTATTGATAAAAAATCATATAAGTTTAAATTTTTTTTTAATTAGAAAATAAAAAGGCTAAAAAAAAATATACTCTTTTATTCACAATACAATATAAATAAGCTCTCAATTATCCTTACATTTTACAAAAAAATCTTCAAAAATTCATGTAAAAAATCTCATTTTATTTCTTCTCATATTTGTAAAAACCTTCACCAGTTTTCACACCTAATTTACCCTCCGATACTAATTTATTTAATAAAGGAATTGGCTTAAACAGTTGTTGATCAGGGTATTTCTTGTGCCAACCATCCAGGATAAACTTGTTGGTATCCAGTCCAACATAGTCTGCCAATTCTAATGGACCCATGGGGTATCCAGCTCCCAATTTCATAGCTATATCAATGTCTTTAGCGGATGCATCACCTAAAACAAAAAAAAAACATTTCGTAAAAGCCCTCACTTTTTAAATTAGTGTTAATAATGAAATAATTTGTGTTTATTCAAATACAACAAACATTGAATAAACAAATGAAATTCTATTTATAAGAAATTCACCTCTTTCAAATAGTCTTATGGCTTCCGCAATATAAGGCACCAATAACCTATTGACAACAAATCCAGGTGTGTCCTTGCAGGTGATGCAAGTCTTCCCCAATGCTTTACCCCAGTCCATCATACTTCTGTAAGTAGTTTCAGATGTCTCCGCACCGCGGACTACTTCTAGTAAACGCATCACTGGCACTGGATTGAAGAAATGTAATCCACCGAACCTGGTATGAAAATTTATTGTTATTTTCTCATAATTATTATTAGAGTAGCCGTCACCTGCAACTCCATACACACATAATTTAAAAAAAAAGATGTAGTAGCCTATGTACTACATCTATGCCTTTCATTGCAATCCCCTCAGCCATCCTGGAGATACATTCTAAGACCTTTAATATTATTATTAAGAATCTTAGTTGAAATGAAACTTACTTGTCTTTCCTCTTGACCACAGCTCCAATCTCATTAACAGACAGAGAAGAAGTGTTTGATGCAAAGATTGTGTGATCTGGAGCAACCTGGAATTACAGGAGCAAGAAGTAAAAAAGTAAGTATCTATAGCTTAAAAATGATAATATGTTAGATATTTTATCAATATTCTTCACCTCAACTTATGATGATGGATTCTTAACAAATCAGAATGTGAGTAATATATTCATGACACATTGGTAACTTCAACAATGTCATTATTCTTATGAAATATCACTTACTTGATCAAGTTTTTGAAATAGCTGGTGCTTAATGTCAATATTCTCTACAATAGCTTCAACCACAAGATCAGCAGTCTGTGATCCGCTTACTGGATCTGTGGCCGTTTTAATCCTGCCCATAGCCTCGGAGACGAACTTCTCTCCTTCCTGTGGATTGTCTTTGTACATCTTCTTTGCAACACGGCCAAGGTTGTTGCCGATAGACTTCTGCGCCTTTGCCAAGATGTCACCGTTGACATCCACCAGTGTGACATTCTGACCAGCCTGTGCGGCTACCTGCCAAAATTTTTTTTTTAACAGAACGATATTTTTACATAATACAAACTATTTACATTTTTTATGATCATGACAATTCTGTAGGATATAAACTTTACTTTTGATAATAAAAAAATAAGTTAACCTTTAAAAATTTGATATTGATATTAAAAACAATGGCAAGGTGATATCTTATGAGAATGTGTAGAATAATAAAATAATACCTGAGCTATGCCAGATCCCATCAGCCCACCTCCTATAACTGTTACATTTTTAATCGCGCTTTGAACAGCTGAAGAGCATGAAAATTGCCTAGTAATTACTCCTAATTGATTCATATTTACTGATTTAATGACTTTAACTTTAAATGTGAAATAAAAGTTATGCCAAAGTTGCGATACAAATTCCAAAGTTCACTGGCCTTTAGATACTTGCTGCGTTCCGTTTCAATCTCAAATATTACTTTTATCTTTAGGGTTATATGTTTTACAGCAGTTAAGGAAAATCGGTGACTACACAGCTTCTCCTTTTTTTAATGGACCTTATTTTTAAGTTCAGTTAAAGTAGAGGAAAATAATCAAAAAAAATATTCATAACATTGTATAAAATGAAACCTTAACAAAAAACAAAACATTAGTTAGAAGGGAACTTATATGTCAAAATCGAATGTTTGTTTTTTTAAGTGTAGTCCAGTTTAATGTTAATTTTGTAAAATTTTACAAAATTTTCAAATCAACCAGACATTAAATTCATTCAAATTTTTACAAAAACTTTGGGATAGTGCCAGCAAAATGTGTGAGCTTGCAAGCTGTCGTAAAATATGCTCTTCAATGACAGGCGAGTACATTCTTATCATTTAATTTTGTTTGATAACAATTATCATTCGTTTGTTTTCGTATAACATCGGCATAAGTGATACTATTTGCTGAGATAACTTTGCTTTCGGAACATTGAACGGTTTGGAAAGTGTGATTTCTGGATTTCACCTCGTCGGAAAGTGGGAAAAAGTTGAAAATGAACAAATTTGTCGGCCTAACCAGAAAGTTTTCTAGCTCATCGTCTTTAAATGCAATTAAGACGGTTACTGTGGTCGGAGGTGGGCTTATGGGATCAGGAATTGCACAAGTAAGTTAAATTTAAATATTGTTATATTTAAGAAGTTTAATCTCTCTGCCCGTCGTTTCCCGTTGGGCCAATTTATCGGTAGGCCGATCGGTCCGAGAAGTAATATTTAGTTAAGTAATATATAATGTTATTTACATATCTCACATATTTAATGAGTTCAATGTAATATGAGTCCAAAGTGTCTATTTTCATGCTTATAAATATTAAATTAACTCTCTTTGCATATATTAAAAATTTATGAAGCCAAATTAAAATTGTATATATTAATTTAAATTGTTATATTGCCTTAAAGGTTGCAGCTCAAGCGGGTCAAAATGTAACAATAGTTGACATAAAACCCGAGTTGCTGGATAAAGCACAAAAATCAATACATAATAACTTGACAAGAGTTGGTAAGAAGATGTACAAAGATGATTCGGCAAAGATTGAAAACTTTGTCAAAGAATCTTATAATAGAATTCAAGTGTCCACAAAAATAGAGGATGCTGTTAAGGCAGACCTTATTATTGAAGCTATTGTTGAAAAACTTGATGTTAAACAAGAGTTATTTAATAAACTTGATCAGGTAACTTCTATTTTATTTAACAGATCTGTGGTTATGTCAAAAAACTACTGGCTAGATAGATATTGTTGAGGCATGAAAACTCTTTGCTCTTCAATTCTGTACAAAAAGAAAAAAAAAGAGCCAATGAAATCTTATGTTTAGTACATTCTAAAACATTCCATCTAGTATTCTTTTGCATTCTATTACATTCAAATTATTTAATTGTTGTGCATTTTGACAGAGTGAATATTGATTGGTAGAAATTATTATGTTTTTAATTTTCAGTTGGCTCCAGAGCATACTATTCTGGCCACAAACACATCCTCTATCTCCATTAATGAGATTGGTGCTGGCATCAAAAGGAAAGATAGGTAAAAATTTTAAACTATTAAATAACATTAAGTAATCAATTTTTATATTTCTATGTTGGTCACTTTATTTTAACTATAATTTTGGGTCCATTATGGGTTATATAAACGAAAAAAAAATCTCATTAAATAACCCAACTGATTTTTTTTTAATTTTTTTCTTTTTTTTTGTAGTTTAAAGAACAATATAACTTATGTTTAATTAGTTATATTGACAAAAGACATAAAAAGGCATAAATTGAATGTTACAGATATGGTGGTCTACATTTCTTCAACCCAGTGCCAGTGATGCGTCTTTTAGAAGTTATCAAAGGTGATCACATCTCTGAAGCCACTTATCAGACGATGATGGAGTGGGGCAAGTCAGTCGGGAAGACATGTATCACCTGCAAAGATACACCCGGCTTTGTGGTGAACAGATTATTGGGACCTTACAGCGCAGAAGCTATAAGATTGTATGAGAGAGGTTAGTTGATATCATGGTTTTTTTTATTTTTTTTAGTGATTTGGGTTAAATCGCGCGGTTTTTAATTTTTATTTTAGAATTTTGATTCTTATTGCATGTTTATTATATCGCTTTTCGGCTTGGAACATAATTGTTTGGCAGTACACAAAAAAAAACTTTACTAATGCATTGTAGGCAGGTAAGTAACATTTTTATATAGCATTATATTTTATTATATTGACATAATTTATGCAAAATGTTTTATTTTTTTGATAAGTTAAAATCATTTTTCTATTAATCGACAAACTGCTTGCAATCAACGCTATTTTAGTGGCTAGGACAGCGAGATAAAGTGCATTTGCTTCAAAGTGATTCCATAGCAAATTTCAGAATTAAATATTATTGTCAGTTCTATACATTGAATTTCGTTATGGAATCGCATCGTAGCGAATGCACTTTGTCTAACCGTACAGTCAGCGTCATATAGATCGTCACAGACAAGATATGCAAATATATAGGTACATCAAAAGTAATCAATTATATCGGTACAACAAAAGTCCTCAAAATAATAGATACATTCACCCTGCTCAAAAACATCGGTACATACACAGCGTCAAATATATGAGTACATGCAAGATGCTCATAAATATCGTAGCAGCCACAGCGTCATAAGTAACGAAGCAGTCAAGGTGCTCAAAAATATCGGTACATTTGACAAAATTGAACTCTATCTCTATATACTTGTGATACAATTTGGAATAAACTACTTCTGTTACATTCATTTGACACTTTGCATCAAACCATTTTTCAAAATTTACTAAAAGTGTTCGACGCGGATGACAGATATTACGTAGATAAAACCAACATCAAATTTAAGTTTGTCATCATATATGCTAGTTTGGTCTCGTGGCCTTACCGTTCGCCGCCGTTGGTACGTAAGTTCGGCGGTTCAAATCCCAAGCAACTATTTTTTTTTTGATATTTAAACTTTTTAATTTTAATATCGAAGCACATGTAATTAAACTCTATCGCCGTAGTTAAAAGTACCTAAACTTTTTGATATTGCCTTGGACTAATGAGTTTGAACGCTAAAGTACTTTTCTATTTCAAACAAAAATGAAGGAGATAAAGTGATGCTATTGACATGTAATTTGTTTATTACTCATGTTTGTTAAACTTGTACCGGTAAAAATAACACTTTTACTTTTACCTTTTACTGATACTGATTATATTTAAGAAACAAAGAAAAAAAACTGAATGTCAATATCCAAACTACATCAAATTTTTGGTCGATTGCAATAAACATTCCAGTGTGCGTGGGCGCGCACACATATGTAGATAACACTTGTACGTATAGTTTCCGCGCGTACCATTCTTAAAACCCGCAAAGACAATCCACGCTCCGCCCACTCACTTCACCCGCGATGGTCTGACCTAATTGTTGTTAACTTCATTTAAATTTCTTTCTACCCGACAGCGAAAATTATAAAAAAAAATTGTCGAGCAAAATTTTACATTACCAAATTTTTACTGGTTATGAAAAAATAACCACGTGATTGATAAAATGAAAAAAAAGTAGCCTGAGATTCGAACCGGTAAACTTACATATTACGGCAAACATACTAGAATACTGCGCCAAACTAGTATATATTGTGACAAGGCAAAATTTGATATTAGTTATTACGTATCTGTCATATTCGGCGTGACAAACTTTTATAATATATTTAAGCGTTATGACAGGAGAAGAAAAATATTGGGTTGCCCAGTAAGTTCGTGCCGCTTTATAAGGAAAATTGAAACCCTGTCCTCTTAAATTTTTGGAAATGGTTTTAAATTATATTGGTACGACTCTATACCTAAAACGTCTTTTATTTTTGGCTAAAATTTTAAAAATTAGTTTTTATCTCAACCAATGAAATGAAATTATTCACAATATAGAAATTTTTGTGACGTTTGATAATGGTGGAAATCCGAAAATGAATCCACTTCAGCTGCAGTCTATTGTAAGCTTTATATCGAAAATCAGAACGAACTTTCCGGACAACCTATAATGTTAATACAAAGTGTCAAATGAATGTAAAAGAAGGAGTTTATTCCAAATTGTATCACAAGTATATAGAGATAGAGTTCAATTTTGTCAAATGTACCGATATTTTTGCGCACCTTGACTGCTTCGTTACTTATGACGCTGTGGCTGCTACGATATTTATGAGCATCTTGCATGTACTCATATATTTGACGTTGTGTATGTACCGATGTATTTGAGCAGGGTGAATGTATCTATTATTTTGAGGACTTTTGTTGTACCGATATAATTGATTACTTTTGATGTACCTATATATTTGCATATCTTGTCTGTGACGATCTATATGACGCTGACTGTACAGGACTACTGTACAAAACCTCGTGGCTTTTCTTTTAATGGGAATAGATTATTAAAGATTTCTATTTTTAGCCGACTTCAAAAAGAAGGAGGTTATCAATTCGTTTATGGTTTTTTTATGTGTGTTACCGCGTAACTACGTCCCTAGTGGTCCAATTTAAAAAAAAAATATTGAAAAGTTTTGCTTTCAGGTCGGTCCCATTTTTTTTTAAATTTTTTGAATGCACTGATTTGACTTATATTTTAAGGTGATGCATCCAAAGAAGATATTGATATTGGAATGAAGTTAGGCGCAGGATATCCTATGGGTCCGTTTGAATTGGCTGACTATACAGGACTTGATACCAACAAATTCGTACTGCAAGTTATGTATGAAAAAACCAATAACCCGGTGTTCAAGCCTATACCACTTCTAGATAAGATGGTGACTGAAGGAAAATTAGGTATTAAGAGTGGAGAAGGATTCTATCAATATAGAAAATAGAATTTTTACTGATTTTTTTAATTTTTTTTAACATATTTCATACTTGGAAATATTATAGGTATTTAAAGGTGCTGGAAGACTGACAATGACAATATTTTTTTTAATAAAAAATAAAATATTTTATATAAAAAAAGTTAATTGACATTTTATTTTTATACTCGATAATAAAAAATGTAATTGGATAAAGCGTTTTATTTAGTTCAAATATGTTTTTTTTTTATTCCTCAAGTAAGAGAATTTCTTAAATGAATATAACATTGTGTAAATTTATTATCAGATAAAAATAATTCTTTAAATATTATGTTATGACGTATGTTAAAATCATCAAGTTCCAAGCAGTTCAACTGTTATCAACGGAACCATAATGTCTTTGATAAAGTATACCCATAGCTGATTAAAATAATCTTTAGTTTTGTGTTATGACACTAGAACTAATGACATTATCAATAGAAAGAAAATATATTTCAAAAAGACCTGAATTAGTGTAAACAAAATATTACTACATACATTTTACGCTAAAAAGGGTACAAACTCTACTTCATCATCTCTTTTCCTAAAATTAAAAAAAAAAGTCCGTTGATACAACAACTAGCCGTCGCCCGCGACTCCGAACGTGCGGAATTATTATATAATAATTAAATATAGGAAAGTATATTATCACCGTTAACTTAGGGTAGGCTCCGAGCCCCTCGGCCGCGGACGAGAGCGAAAGCGTGCCCGTGGTCTCGTCCCGAACAGAGGGGTTTAGTGGGTATAAAGCATTCCCCAATGAAAAAAAAGGCTCCGAGCCCCTCGGTGAGCACTATAGTGAGCTGATGATGATGATATTCTTCCAGGCTGTGCTCTATATCTATGAAAAAATTTCAGCCATACCCATGCAGACGTTCTGATATCTTTTAACATCCATCCAAACATTCGCATTTATAATATTAGTAAGATATTATTCCCGCATTCTAACAAAAATAAGGTTAAATATTTTAAACAATATTTATGTTAATTTGAATGTACAGTGTGTATACTATTGGTTACGATTAAGTCATATCTTGAACGGAAATACTTCTCATGTAAGATATGAGATAAATATACAGAATAGGACAAAATAGATTTAACCGTTTTTGAGTTCTTATGCTTAATAATTTTAGGTGACGCGACAGCTTCTGACATTGATACGGCAATGAAGCTAGGCGCAGGATTTCCTATGGGACCTTTAGAACTGGCGGACTTCACCGGTCTCGACAACAAGAAGTATATCCTGGAGATTATGCATCAAAAGACCGGTCTAACCGTATTCCAACCTATTGCTCTTTTAAATAGATTAGTGGAGGAAGGAAAAGTTGGTAAAAAGAGTGGAGAGGGATTTTATAAATATAAATCTTAGTTGTAAATATAAAAGTAACCTTGGATTATTCTATAGTTTTATAATAACAGTAAATACTAGTTAATAAATTTGTAATATTACATAAGAATTTTTACAAAACGTATATTAAGTAAAATATGTTCGAATATTTTATTAAAAGCGAGATTAAGATAACTTCACTGCTATTATTTAAATAAATACATCGTTTAAAGTATATACGTGTATTATTTAATTACTAGCTGTTACCCGCGACACCGTCCGCGCGGAATTAAAAAAAAACTTAAAGAGTAGCCTAAGTGTTCCTCCAGTATATGTTCTACATCTGTGCAAAATTTCATTAAGATCCTTTGAGCCGTTTCTGAGATACATTCTAACAAACAAAGATCCATCTAAACATTCGCATTTATAATATTAGTAAGAAGTAAGATTCAATAACAAATAGTAAGTATTTATAACAGTTGGTTGGGTTCTCAGGGATGACGATATGTCGACGAGATTTCGGCCTCAGAAATCCACGGTAATCCTGTAAACAGTCCACTTTTTCTACGAAAATGCGCTATAAATATGTAAAACTTCGTAAGACATGAAATATAATTCAGGGTTAAGGAAAATTGTATTAAGATTGTAAACGAAATTTTTTTTATCTACACATCGATCAAATGTATAAAAAAAAGATTCGATAAGTAAATGTCTACAATGATTTATATTCGATTAGATAATTCGAGTTTTCGGAGTAATTTTGCTAAGACGCAGTTTTTAGTAAACTTGTCGAGTAGCACTTTGTCGTCTTTAATACACCTTATTTTTGCTAATACCGTATTGTGTGAGTGACCTTTTGGATATTTTATACGTTAATTAATGTTAAATTTATGTTTATTTTAATTCCGTGTTATGTGAATGTTACGCAATTATTGTGGATTATCTTACTAATATTATAAATGCGAATGTTTAGATGGATTAATGAATGTTCGTTTGAAGGTATCTCCAGAACGACTGAATGGATCTCGATCAAATTTTAACATACATAAAACAAAGACTGGAAGAACACGTAGGCTACTAATTATGTATTTGAATACCGCGCAGACGGAGTCGCGGGCGATCCCTAGTTAAATTGTATAATAACTATCTGTCGCCCGCGACTCTGTCCACGCGGTATTAAAAAAACTTAAGTAAATGCGTTCATCCAAACCTTGTTCTAAATCTGAGGAAATTTCATCAAGATCCGTTGAGCCGTTCCGGAGATATCTTTTGGCAAACATTCATCCATCTAAACATTTGCATTTAAAATATTTGTAAGATAACGTAAATATTGGGGTAGCAAGACAAAGCATTTATCAGTCAAGGTGACAGGTGCAGTCGCGGTATTGCACTCACCTTTAGGGTCAATGACCTGTCTATCTTGCAATTTGCTAACATGAAAATATTGAATAATATCATTTAAACACATTCAAATACACAAATACGACATAAGTTTATTTAAAAGTTTAGAGCAAGTGTTTTTGAATTTAAATTACTTCGCTATATTTTGAAGGGAAATAATATTTTTATCTACCCTCATAAATAATTATAGAACGACCAACAAAGTTATGTTAAAGCATTAGTCCAAATAGCGTATTGTAGAAAAAATATTTATTAAGTGTTTTGTGTTCACAGATCGTTTGCTAAATGAGTGATGTGTGCCAACAGCAGAAAAAGAGGCAGCCGATACGGCGGATGAGATCCATTTATCAGGTAATTTAACACTTTGCCCGCACTCAGAGTCGTGTTATGGTCACTAATACATACTCATAATGCAGATAAAATAAGCGAAATCACACATACTAATTACTTATGTTATATTTTTTGTATTAGTTATGGAATTTATCGTTTTTAATTTAATTAGAACGAGGCGTTGTACAATCCCTAAATAAAAAACCCTTATTTAAAGAAATATTTAATAGCAAAAAGACACAGAAACTGATTTGACATTACTGAATTCAAAAACGTATTCCTCTTTTTTTATAGTAAATATCAGCTAAAATTGTTAAAACTCCTTAAACAGGCGTTTTAATGTTAAAAGATTACAGTAATATTTAGACTTATTTTGGCACATAGGGATAGTCTTCATTACTTTGGAAAGAAGTAAATTGAATTTGAGTTAATCTACGATTTAAGTTATTATTGTATGAAGGTGCACTACGGTCTGCGTCCACGCGAGGACGAGATGACGGCGCGGCCATTTGTGCTGCCGACGGAGTCTCCAGAGGTGCACAGGTACGCGCTCCAGGTAGCTGGTCACCAGACCACAAAGGATACAAAGTATCTAGGTAACTTATTAATGATTCTAATACTTTTACTTCTACTTATGAATCCTCGCCTTTATTTTCTTTTATAGTACATCATCTAAAAGTCTTTTTTGGACTCCAGTGGGTCCATCTGAACCTGTTTTGAAATCATTGGCTTTGATAGAGCAGTTATGTTGTTAAGTTATTATTATACATCAAAACAAAAGAATCCATTGTTAAGAATTAAGATAATTATTTATGGGACTAGAATAAAAATTCATGGTAAAAGGCGAGTCTGCACTGAAGGGTAAAATACTTCCAGGTCTTCTCCAATGCAGCAACGGCAGAATACTAAAGCCGATATTAAAGGAATCTCAGAAGCGCGAAGTGGATTTCTACGAGCGGCTGGCGAGCACCAAGGACCCTGATTTGTTGGAGTTGCGCAAGTTCACGCCGCAGTACTACGGCGTGCGACAGTTCGCGTACAATGGACACGAATTGGAGTACATAATGCTGGAGGACCTCACTGAGAGGATGCTGGAGCCCTGCATCATGGATGTTAAGATTGGTGAGATTTTAATAATTGTTATCGTGTAAAAATATCCGATTGTTGTATGTGACATCTTGTCATTTGGTTTCTTAATTAGTTATTATCTTAATTAGAGTTCTTAATAGATTAAATAGTAAATTTGAAATAGGTCCGCAGTGTCATAGGATGGTAAAACTCAATATGCAATGAACTCTAGCACTACTGCATAGGTAAGAGGACTTGGGATAAGTTCGCGAGCGCGGAGAAGATAGCGAGCGAGGAGAGCAAGTACCGGCGCTGCAAGCAGGAGTACTGCTTCTGTATCCCCGGGTACCAGGTGTACCGGGTGGACCGCGGGGACCTGCACAAGTACGGCAAGGACCACGGCAAGCGTCTACACGGACACATGGTCATCGCCGGTGAGACCACAATCCATTGTTCTACTTACGGCTTACATCCGAAACTAATAATCAATCGGATAGACTCAAAGATTATTTAAAATATTTCGTAAATTATTAGAATGTATCCTTTACCTTTTAAACGATTGACTATGTTTTTCGATTGATAATAAACATCGGTGGCTCAGGTGTTTAAGCACTTGACTCGTAATCTGCAGGTCCTGGGTTCGAATCCCGCCATGTACTAATGTGTTTTTCGATTTTACACACGTTTATAAGACGTTTTTACGGCTAATAAAAACATCGTGATGCAACCTGCACATATCTAATAAATTCAAATATATGTGTGAAGTGAACCCGCAGTGAACCAGCGTTGACTATGGCCTGGTCACCTCTAACTTAGAGTAAGCTCCGAGTCCCACAGTAAGGACGTATAGTGAGCTGATGAATATTATGGATTAAAAATACCGCGGATAATCAAAAATGATTCGTGATAATATTGTACTAGCGATCCGCAACTACCTGAACGCGGGGTGTGTGGGGGTTGAGGGTGGGGGTGGTGGTGGTGCGGAGGTGTCGGCGTGCCGCGCGCTGGTGCTGCAGCAGGTGGCGTGCCTGTGGGCGCTGCAGAGATGGGCGTCGCGCGCTCGCTCGCTGCGTCTCACATCCACGTCTCTGCTGCTCGTGTACGACGCGGCCAGACTGCGCACTTGCTGCACACAGTATGTACCCACCGCTACACCCACACTTTTTCTGTACTTTTTTAAGTATAAAAGACTTTAATTCGTCTTTTGCTTCATTCTATAATTCACTAAAGAAGGTCCTGCTAATTAATTTTTATAAATTTATTTTAAGGTTCAAGATTAATGAAATATAAAGTTAAATCTCTTTGGTATAAATTACGTCAAAAATGATTGCCGATAATCTCTGTCGATATCCGACGGCTCTAGAATTGAACTATATATGTTATTTTTTTTACAATTTCAGAAATCGTTCCTACAAGCCGATAGCGAGACGCAAATCCATACATTCCACGGACAGTCCCACTGCGGGCTCCAACTTCAGCGGTCAGCTCGGCTCCAAGGGGCCGGTCTACCGTAAAGTGAACTCTGTACCTCTCAGCCCCATGTCAGTCGCACGCAACTACTTCTCACCTCCTCCTCCTATCACATCGCCCTGGTCTGAAGCCTTGGAACGATTAAATCATAATCATTCCTTCGAACATAACTATGAAAATAAATTATCTAAAATAAAAATGAATTATCGAGCGACATTGGATCAACTGTGCAGTGAGATGCCTCACCCCAACCCCTGGGGCACGGTCAAGCTGATAGATTTCGCACACGCTTACTTTGATGATGATGAAGATAACGTCGACTACAATTTCAAAGAAGGCATCGATAGTTTGGTTCAAATCTTCGAAATGTTACTCCAAGAGACTGATGATCAGGTTTTCTGACAAATTTGTCAAAATTAATCATATGAGGAAAGTTCATAGAAAACCTCACAGAAATTGTCTACTTTTTTTTCATATATAGTAGTCATAAAAGTGATAATATGGAGGTGGACCGTTACTGTGTAAACATACTTGTTTGAATACATCGTCCATTAACCATAGGTTTTTGAGACCAAAATCCTCGTTAAAAACATTACATCTGCTGTCATAGATAAGTCAATAAACAACAATAAACAAGACTTAACACAATGTAATTTAATATAATATTGTTAAAACTAATAATAATTTTGTTCAACCCTTAATAGCCTGATTTACATACGATAGTTATTTATTTTTAACATTACTGTGTTTGCTTGATAAAATAAAACAATAGTGAATTATTTTTTTTAAATTTCGTTGGAAAGAATATTATAAAACAGTAAAATAAGTGCAGCCAACATATAAAAAAAACTAATAGTAATGTGAACATTCGGTTTAAAAGATTGGTATTAAAATTAAAACTCTAGGCTAATAAGGGTTAACTTATTTTGACATATAATTATGCAAAATTACTTTTGTTTGTGTGAATTTGTTAATTTATATTCCTGTTTACTTTCATAATGTATAAAAGATGAAATTATTCTAATTTTTTTAAATAAAAGACATTTTTCGCTTTCGCATTATAAGTATATTATTTCTGAAATCAGCCAAAAAAAAAATTACATCCCAAATAAAACATATATACTTAATAAAGGGTCGGGGGAGTGGGTGTGAACCTCACGGCGGCAAGAGTACCTCGAAAAGGTACCAACAGACATAGTTAATTTAGTATGCAGTGTAGAAAACACATTCTTAGCTATTCACGACAAAGAAATACTGCAAATCTTAGTACAAATTGATATTATTCAATTCCAAACATCTTTACAAATATTTTAAACCGTGGGTTTCCGAAACATCTTTGACAAAACTGAACAATTGTTTTAAATGCAGATTTGGATTTCAAAAACCTACGGTTAATTTTATAAATTGATTTCTAAAAATCTTAGCTGAAAAAAAAACACTAATTTAACATATATATTTTAAAATTAGATTTTATTAAAAATATATAAATAACATATGTATAATAACCGTGAGGTCTATAGATAAAGAATTAGGAGTAACAAAGATTTTATTTATAATGTATTCAATAAAGCAAAATATTAACCTAGTAAATAACCGAAACACACGAGCGAAGAAATATTATCATTAAATCCAATAAAAAAAAACATAAACATGCTTTTTAATCTGTAACATGTAACACGCGGTGTATTCAATAAATGTTACAAGCATATAAATCTAGTGTTACCATATAATATACAATGAAAATTAAAAAAAAAAATAAACGTACGCAGCACAACAAGCACCTTGTAATCAATAGCATTTACATTAGAGTATTATATATTTAATTACATCTTTTTTTTTTTGATAAATTTTCTCAATTATATTTTCATTATGAAAAAAAAACTACACACATGGCGGAGGAATTTCAACATTTTCACCTTAATTTAGGTCGGAATATCACAATAAGATCGGAGTGTTGCTAGCGCGCTGTCACGTCGCAGTACACTGACGTCCTCTATAACACAACGTCCTCTCAAAACCAACACCAACGAACAATATTATATTAACTTACGTAATACCAGCGCCGAACATAATTTGATTTAATGTATATTAATATTTTAATGTAATTAATAGTGAATACCTATCCAAAGATTACATTTACTAAAGCAATAACGGTTGGTTGGAAAATTTTAAAAGAAATCAGAATGAAACTGTTAAAAATAACTGAAAAATTACAAAAAACACTGACATCTATTTATCTGCTACAAGAAAAACAAGATATAGAAAATTAACTAGTTATAGATTTTATTAAATCACAATTGCGCATGCGCAGAAGCCAAAAATGGCGGTAAATTACCTCAAATGACAGATGTCAGTTTGAAAAAACTCCTCCAAAGTCTGTCACATTAAACACGTTTAATCTATTTATTTGACAAACGAGAGAAGTTATAAATACGCAAAACAAATAAAGATATAAAAAAGACTAAAATATAGTATTTTTTTAATTTCGTAGTAGATTTAAATAATTTAATCCACAAATTTTTTTATTTTGTTTTGTCTTTTTATTTTGTTGCTTTTATTTTCTTAACTGGCAATACTGAGATAAATCATATAAAATGTTAAAGTATCAAGATATATCCGGCGCGGAGTAAATTTAGCAACTAGAACGCGAGTCAAGTTCACAAAGAGCTGACTGACGTACAATAAGACACTTCTCATTATAATTGTAAATTCAAATTTCTTCAGGACCGAATTTCAAAATATGTAAAAGTTTCATTAAAAAAAATTGGTCCATTAAAAATAAAACGATTCAATTATAATCGTTAACTTACTGCAAAGATTTTATCATTAAAATTTTAGAGACTTGTCAAATTAACGTCGAATTTTTAAAATGATTATTAAATCATTCGACTTAAAATAATTATAAATCTACTCAATTAAAATAATATTTTAATTTTATATGAGTTTGATTAATAAAATAATACAAGAAATTACATTTTGTCATAACACACAATATCTCATCATTAAAATGATATAATAATCAGATTTTAATAAAAATTTACTTGCCGGTTAAATAAAAAAAAAATTGGTAGGTAAAACAAAATAAAAATTAATAGATAATTGACTATATGCTATTAATGAAGAATATGCTAGAAATGAATACTATTCAAAGTTTCGTGAGACATTATACTAAACTGACTCATCCTGATGATGATGATGTGCTCGAAACTAGTCGGTACCGCCACCGGACGAATATACGTCAGTGTTTAGCCGTTTTTATATCAGTTTAATGAAATATACTGTTAAAATCATTAAAAATATTAAATTATAATTGTTGATTGATTAAAATATTTTTTTTATTAAAAAAATGAATTCCAATTCAATCATTATAAAAATTATTCAATATATTTTTTAATCATTATTGAAAGTCAGTCCTGAGAAATTTGCTGATACAAAAGCTGGCTTGCATTTAATTTTACAAACACTAGCAGGATATTTCTAAATATCTAAGATAGAAAAAATAATGATAAAAACCGAATCATTAATTAAATTAAAATTTTAATCGATCCCGTTTTTATACCTTATTTATTATTTTCTAAAAAGGACTTACAAAAAATCACACAAATTTAAAAATAAACGTAATGAAAAATATCAAGAAACATGGGATTAAAAAAAACTATAATCTCTATGGATTTATAGAGCATGCCAGATATTGTACCAGTGTTTGTAATGTTTTATATAAGTTTGCACTGCAGAAACATAACCATAAAACTTGTGTCGACATATATCAAGGTTTCGTTAGTGCAAACTCACATATAGGAGCCAGTGTTTGAGTTGGCACGTCGAGTTCAAAAGTACTCTTGTTCACGAAGTGTCAAATCAAATGTTGGGTACAACTGCCGCACTCAGAAACGTTAAGTCCACCTTAGTTTAGATTTTTCATATTAAATCTTATCTACTGTAGATTTAATGCGAGATATCTACACCAAAGGTTATTAATTCTCATCTCTGAGTGCGGGTAGTATGCGTGTGGTTGGGATGGTGGGGTGTGGGGTGTGTGTGGGGGGGGGGGGG